AGAGGCCGCTCTGGGAGAACTGGCTGCGGTTGGCCACGCTGACCCACGCGGCGTCGGCGGGCAGGTCGCTGGAGCTCTCCGACCACAGGAACAGTGCCACGTTGTGCTCAAACTGGATGTGCTTGCTGGGGACAGAGCTGCCGGGCTTGCTTTCGAGTTCCTGCAGCGCTGAGATGAGAAGCTGCTTGGAGCTGCTTGAAATGGAGTCAAATCCTTCTTTAGTCAGTGTCTGGAAGAGAACAAGATAAAAAGCACCGCTTATTCGTGCTTCCCACCACCCTATCACTACTCGGGTGTGCAGCTGGGACTGGCTCACATAATAGAGGGGACACAGCAAAGTTCCCATGTTCTCCACAAATGGCCAGCTGCCCCAAACCTTGTGTACAAGGCTGAGCCCACCCGTCCCCCAGCCAGCTCTGCTGTTTCCTTCCCAGGAAACCCACCTGCAGCCTGTCCAGAAAGAGCTGCTGCAGCAAATCCTCCCAGAAGGAGGCCGGTTTGTCCAGCAGGCGCCGGCACACGGTGTCCCAGTGCTGGCTCACGGCCTCGCTCGTGAGCAGCTCCCACACGGCATCGCGGATCCCGGCGAGCCCTTTCAGGCTCTTCACGTAGACCAGCAGGTTGGTGACCCCGGCCTTGATGTCGTCGTTGCACCTGAAGGCAAAGTTTCACTGCAGCCTCCCCCGACTCAGCCCCAGAGATGGCAGCAGAGAATGGTGAGAATGTCTGCTACGAGGTGGGGAGATTCTTAACATTTCAGTAAGAGGCTCCGCCTGGGAGAAACTTCCCTCTCCAGTCTGGCACTTGCACCCCGATGTCCCCCAGCTCCCCTGTGGCCACGCAGCATGGAGAGGCAGGGGGAACATGCGGGATGCTCTGGGTTGTGTTGCTGGGAAATATCCCAGGGCTGCTGCCACCTGTGGGGACCAGCTGGCCATGCCGGCAGTGGCTCCATTGGTAGTGATACAGGCCTGACAAATGAGTGACAAGGCTGGTAATGTGGGAGGAAGAGCTGCCAGACTGTTCCTCTTCGGAGGGCAGAGCAGGAAGGGGTGGAGCTGGGGGGTCTATAAAGGGGGTCTGCCTGCCTCCCCCCAGCCTGGGGAAGGGCAGCGAGGAGGAGGAGGAGGGAGCTGCTGGACCAGGAGCTGCAAGAGCTGGGTAAGGGGTTTCCTTCTCATTCATTCTCTGTGCTTGTTTGCTGGTGGGTTATTGCAGCATGCAGGAACTCTAAAATCAGCGTGGCCCGGGGTGGTCTGTGGGGTCTGCTATGTCGGAGTGTTACTGCCTGGCTTTTAGGACAGCCCAGGGCTGTTCCTTGGTGTTTTAATGGCAGGGGAGAGTAGACATGGAGCCAAATGAAGGCTTGGCCTGTGTGAAGTCTGCAGGCAAGCTCGGCTCTGCCTTGCGGGGCTGCTTTGGCTCGGAGACTTTGTGGTGTCTGCGAAAGCCCTGCAAAGAGGCCACTGCGCAGAGGTGCCGCTGCACTCACAGGGCGATCCACTGCTGCAGCGTGTCCCGGAGGTGCTCCTGGCTGATGGGGTGGGCCAGCGTCCGCAGCGCCGGCTGGAATTCCACCACGGACGCGGGGAGGTAGCGGAACCAGCTGCTCAGCTTCACCTCGTCCTCCAGCACCCCGCCTCCCCCTGGAAGCACAGGGATTAGGGGGAATCAGCCCAGAGCAGCAACGACCTGTTCTGCCAATGCAGGCTTTGGGCCCGGCACCGCTCACCTGCTGCCTGTTGGCCCGTGGCACTCTCCAGCGTGGAGAAGAGCAAGCCGCAAGGCAGGGCTGGGTCCGAGGGTGCCCCGTCGGGCATCGTGTAAAAGAGGGCATGAGCCTGGTACAGCGTGGTCGTCAGCAGCTCCATCAGGGAACACACCTGCGCTTTTATCCCCGCGCCTGCAAGGAAATGCCTTTCAGCCGAGGCAGTCCCTGAGCAGCCCTGTGTTTCAGGGCTGGCAAGCCTGATTATACGGACTAATTTCTAGCAAAGGGCTGCAGGACCCAGCACTCAGCTCTGGACACTGTCTGCTTCCCCAGTTAAAGATGGGCTTGGCGTGGGTCCCTGTGCACTTAATTCAGTGCCGTGGCAAAGCACTGCCAGCGTTGTCACCTCCAGCAGCCCGCAGTGGGGGCATCCCTGCCATCCTGAGCTTTACAGGAGCGAGGCCCTGTGGCAAGGGCAGAGTTAAGAAAGGAGGCAGTGCAGCTGTACTTAACCGTGATGTGGCTGGTTGAGGAGCTGCTGGATAGCAGATTTCCTGGCCAGAAGGAAGTCAGCCAGGGCCTGGCGCGGAGAACTGTCCTCCAGGAGCATGATAGAGCACAGCGCTTCTGCCACCGCCTGGTCTGACACGGCCCGGCACCTCAGCAGAGACTTGCTCTCCTGCAGGATCGTGGATCTAGCAGGGAAAGGAGACGGGTGCTTGAGTAAGGGAGTCTGGAGTTTGACTGAGGTATTCAGATTTGCTTGTGTGATACTCAGCCAAAATTACACTTAATACTTCATTCCTTTCAGCAAAACCTCTTGGTAACCCAAACCCACCAGGCCTCTGTGAGAACATGACGTTCTCTTCCTGTGCAAATAGGCTGTTGCACAGTTAGGGCAGAAATTCCAGCCTTAGGCTGACAAAGGGCAGATTTCCCAGAAATAAGAGTTCTGGGGAGAGCCTGAAGCGCTCCTGCACCGTGCGTGTTATCCCAAGGGAGCAGCTCGGGGCTTGCCGAGAGGCAGCCGCATTCAAGGAGGAGCAGGGAAGCAGGAAGGGGCTGCCCCATGGCCGGGGCTCAC